TTCAACTAAAAAAATATTAAGTTTTAGTTATGGACTAAATACAGTACATAAAGTTTGACTGTTAAATTTTTAATAAGTGTGTTCAAATCAAATTAAAAAATCAAACTAAATAAGAATAAAATTAGAATTTAGTCTACCTAGATCTAGTTTGAATCGAATTAGTTAAATATTCTTTATTTAACTATCTTATTTAAAATTATGTTCACTATCTTAAATATTCTTTATTTAAAATTATGTGAGTTTTACCTTATTTTGATAAGTCTTAATTAAATTAATCAGGTTTAACATATATTATTAAATTAGATAAAACAAATCAACTAAAAAATATATGTTTTAAGTTATGGACTAAATACAGTATATAAAGTCTGACTTTAAAATTTTTAATAAGAGTGTTCAAATCAAATTAAAAAATCAAACTAAATAAGAATCAAATTAGAATTTAGTCGGTCTAGATCTAGTTTGAATCGAATTAGTTCATCAATTATTTGATTTTTAAGACTATAAACAGTTTCAGGTGCTCTTCTCCGATCTGATTATAGATTCAAATCGAATTAAATCAATTTTACGTTAAAAAATTTTAGGCTAACCTAATTCACTATCTTAAATCTTAACCGGTTCAAATTGATTAATCAAACTATAACAAATGATGTTGACATGATTTTATAAATTTTATCATATCGTTCCAATATCTTGAATAGAATAAATTACTTAAAATTATAAATTAATAAATTGATTAATTAAATCAAATTAATTGATCGATTTAGTTCGACATGTAACTAACTATTCAGTTCAAATTCGTTTGAATACGTTTAATTTTTAATAATATCAAGATTATTCTTTTAGTTTACTTTTCATTACGTCACACATATATCTATATGCATACGCATATATACATATAAAACTTTTAAGTAGTTCGCTGATGTAATCTTCTCCTTTACAATCGCACAAAATAATTTTTTTGCACATATTTCCACATTTGGAAGAGTTACAACAACACGTGCATTCCATAAATGCCACCGAGAATGGGAGAAATCTAGGTGTTTGCATGCTGCATTGGCTGCTCGTAAAGCGAAACGACAAGAATCACGTCCCGCAAGCTCACCTTTTAAATAGAAGAGACGAAGTCAAGATAAAACCACAATCATAAATATGATGGCACAGTTCTCGGCATTATCACGACTTGCACAGTTCTTTATTGGTTTCTGCGAGTACCAAAATAGCATGATCATAAACATCACAGCAAGCACAGGTTTGCTTTCTGAATCGTACAACACATTATATCTCGCCATCCCATAACTCTTCCAGTGACTTGTAAGGGCCATTGGCAGAGACAAAACCGTCTCCTGCAGGGCCTCTGGATTGTGGAATTTGGCTAATCTTCTGCAACTCTTCGGCTGTTAATTCCCAGTCAAATATGTCGATGTTTTCCTTCAACCTCTCCTTTCGGAAGCTTTTAACAATCACGCCCACCCCTTGTTGGTGTAGCCACTTCAGCGAGACCTGTGAAAAATAAGGAAAAGGAGAGACTTAGCGAAACTTTTGATACGTATGAATCGTTAATGATTAAAAGAGTTAGATTACACATATTAATTCCGGATCGTAATTTAGAAACTTAAGTTCTTGATTGATGAATATTATTAACCTTTAGCTGTTGAAACTCATTTTAATCTTTGATTTCTGAGAATTGGTTTTTGCATTCCAGATAACAATGACTAGCACAAAGAAATTAGGAAGTAATGACAGAGAAAGGGAAGCAGTATTATGAAGATTGAAGGCTATCTCATTCCTTACTGCTCTTCTATCATGTACAAATGATTTGACATCAATCTACCAACACAACATGCACAATACTCCTCCATTGAAACATCTTAGTCTAACATGGATGATGCATAGGAATAAACAACATATAACTGATACCTGAGGTACGGACTTCCCTTTGGTCAGTGCAATCTGTTTGAGAACATCACATTCCATGACTTCGTTGGTCCCCCATGGAGTCCCAGTCGAACCCAACGGAGAGTATGCGCAAAGCTTGATACCTTTGTTCTTCGCATAGTCCAACAGTTTGTTCTGTTGCCAAATGGGATTCATTTCCACCTGACATAACTCGCACGATTACTACATATTAGGCTATGGAAATATTTGCGCCATCCATTCCCAGCGATGACCCAATTACCTGATTGACGGCCGGAGGGATCGAAGCAGTAGAGAGAAGTCGTTCCAGCTTCTTACAGCTGAAATTGCTCACTCCAATCGACTTCGTGAGGCCTGCCCTCTGACACTCCTCCATGGCTTCCCAAACCGCCTTCAGATCAATGGGAAGGAAGTCATCTTTGTTGATCGGGAACTTTGTATCACTTGGCTTCATACTTATGGGCCAATGCACCAGATACAGATCCAGATATTCTAGTTTAAGAGCGCTGCATACACATCCGGTCACAGTCAAATGTCCTCTTTCTGACGAAACAATTAGTATTTCTCGACGAGAACGGAAATGGATGCGCGAACGAGGTTAGGGATCCAAAGCGTTACCCAAGGGACTGTCGAAGGGCGGCGACGACGCGGTCGGCGTGGGCATCGGTGCACCACAGCTTGGACGTGATGAAGAGCTCCTCTCGCTTGACCAGGCCCTGCCCGATGGCGTCGGCCACCGCTTCGCCCAGGCGTTCCTCCGTCCCGTACAGCGACGCGGTGTCGAAGTGGCGGTAGCCGAGGGCGATGGCGTCCATCATCGCCGTGCGGAAGGCTTCGGGAGTCGCCGGCGGGAACGAGGCCGTGCCAAGGCCCACGAGTGGCATGGCGTGGCCGGAGCTCAACGTCACTTCCGGTATCACTCCCATCTCTCTCCTCCTCTAAGCCGATCCAACACAGCCCAACCGCTGCTCTCTCGAATAAAGGGTTCCAAGAAGAAGGAGAACCCAATCAATGCATTGGTATTCGGAACATAGAAGACATCGCTTGTCAGGTGGGAACGGAATCTTCGTTCATTTTCAAGATTTCAAACCTCCAAGTTTGACCTTTTTTAATATTCGTATATAGCCTTCTAAATCTGTTCTAAATTAGCATATATACATAACCGTACCAAATGAAAAATATCATCAATCATAATCTGTCGATTGCTATTTTACTCTCAGTCGAGAGCTAAAAACGTGTTTTGATAATACCTAATAATCATTAATTAGTGAACATTGTGTAAGCAAACGAGGACGATAAATTGTATGACCAGTGAGTTAGGACGGCAAGGCTACTGAATCAGTTGACCTTAAATGTCCAGTCGTCCCTTTCCGACAGGTCAATTTTATTACGTCACGTGCACTGGACGGCCGACGTTAATGCAATGAATTCGGCTTCAATATTTCTTGGACCCAACGGAACGGTCGGTCGGTTCTTCACCCAAACCCGTCTCCTCCATCCGATTACGCCCTTATCCAAACATCCAAAGATTCTGCTATCTAAACAACGCATTGAAATTTATTCCACCTTCATCGGTTACGTGTGTCCCACGTAAGATACCAAATTATCAATTATTGAGGTCTTCGATCGAAGTCCACTAGAAATAATTTATTGTGGAGATTTTTGTTGATTGCTCGTCTAGTTCACACCCAGTTAGATGAGCTTGATACGATGAATTGCATCAAAATAGGATGCTATGCAGTAAGCATCAGTTCAAGAAGAATAGAAGACAAAATTCATGTACCTGAACAAAAGCAACAAAAAAAACAACGTCTTAATATATAAGAAAACAAATGATTGGGTCATTTTGGCACAGCAATTAGATTTTGTATTTATCATAACATGTACTTTTTTTCTTAGGTCAGTTCTGCCATAATCTTCTCAAAATAAGTCCACAGTTACATAAAGCCCAGATTTCAATAGACCCATCTAGTCAGATTTAAAGTATTATTTTTGAAAGATTTTATTTTCGTATTTTTATATTTTAAGTAAGTTGATTAGATAAAATTTTAGAGATAACAATTTTTTGTTTAAATTATTATTTTAGATATAGATAGCATCTATATATAAATAGATAACATCTATATATGCATTCATCCAAATCTAGATGTCTAGGCATATAGGGCTCAAATCAAAAGTAGGATCTTAAAAGTAGTTTAAGAACGTATGAGTATTTTTTTCTTTTGAGAAGTTAAATATTTTTTTAAATTTTTTGTTTTGATTTTTTTATTTGATTTGATCGCGGATTAAAAATACCTTATTATTATAATTTGAGAAAGGATTGCATTTGCATGTGCTCTCTCTCGAGATAGTTGGTGATCTTCCTCGTGGGTACCTCCTTGAGACGGGAGACGCGGGCTGGTGCTGGTCAGGATCCAAACTACTGGACTACCCTCCTCAGCGTATCAAGTGACGACTTCGGGGTGAAGACTCTCACAGCTTGATAGTGATCGCCTCCCTGCAAAACAGCCTTCGTCGGGTGATTCCTGGCCCCTCCGACGAGCAAATTATATTGGTTTATATTCCCCTCCCTTTTTTTCCTTCTCTTTCCTTAGGATCAGCCGGGGGTATTTATACCTGCACGCGAGAGTCGGTTGCCCCTTGGTTCGGCATCGCCGTTGATTCTCGCGAGGGTGGGACAACCCCTCTGGCGAGATGACGTCTTCGAGGGTGCTTAAGCGGTGTCAGACGGCACTGTCCCAAAAGCAAACAACACCGCCCCAAGCTCTTGGGGTGGTCAGGTCACATAGTTTCGCAGTTGAACTTGATGTGGCGTGCACCCCATGATTCTGGTGGCGTACGGCATTATGTTTGTGATTGTTAGTTTGCGATGTTTGTTGGTGATTCGTCCGGGGCTAAAAATATGCCCTATCATATATATATATATATATATATATATATATATATATTATTTATCTTTTCTTTTCTTTTATTTGGTTTTATCTTGGACTAGTAATATCTTATTATTATTACTTAAAAATCAGTTATACTTATATATGATATATTTTTTTTCTTTACATCATCAGCTACAGTAACAAAAGCATAAATAACATATAGATTTTGCTTAAAAATATAATCACCACCGTTATTAGTAGTAGATTTAAAGTACTCAAATTTAAAGATTACATAAGCTTCTTGTACAACTATTTTTCTCCACGTTTTGTGAGGCATTGGTATACTTTTAATGGCCAACCATGCCAAAAGCCTGTTCTTACCACTCAAGCCTTATAGAGCATGCCTATCTCCAGACGCTGTCGAAGGGGAATCCCCAAAGCGGGCAGTGCCGATCTACAGTTGCCGTGTAAAAACTCATAAAACCCAAGCAAAATTCTATCGAACAAACTGGTGTCTTTACCAACGTGAAACCTTGTCTTACCCCGAACATGCACCGCTCCTGCTTCTTTAGCCCTCTCCAATTGTGAAATCTCCTCCTCAACATAAGCAGGAGAAAGCCCTTCAGAGGAGTTATCTATATGTGCCCTCAAGCTGTTAGTAACTTGGGTTACAAAGTCATCTCCCCCGTGATTAAGGAAATCAGCATAGCCATACTGAATCATGCATCCATATACCCCATCAAGCCCCAGTCTAGTGATCATTATCCTCTCATTTGGAGCAACTTTGGCAACCAATAAGTACCTTAGAGTTGTAAAAATGGTAACCCTGTGGAGCGAGCGCGTGTTCTGTATGTAGTGTCCAAGGATGGGCGTTAGTCCATCCTGAATATTGCTGTAAAAGAAGCAAAGCCCAGGAACTCTTTGGATCTCTGAGCTTTCCAAAAGCTCACCTAGCCATTCAAGAGTTATTTTGTTTGCCATTTCATACTCTAGCTTTCTCTGACGCCCGTAATACCAGCCAAACATAATGAACGCCAGGACTATAGATACAGCAAACGGCAGCCAGCCACCTTCCAAAATCTTAGTGCAAACTGCACTTGCATATGCACCTTCTAGGATTGAAAACGGAACGAAGTATAAAGCAGAAACAATGATCGGGATTCTCCATATAATGATCATGACTAGAGTCAATAAGATTGTGGTGATGAGCATGACCAGTATGACAACAACACCTGCAAAAATTAGAGAACCAGTAAGTATTCATGGAGATCACTGTGATATGTTACGAGAAATCTGAGTTAAAAATATGCCATCTCTCCGTACCAAAAGCATTCCCTAACTCTTTTCCATCACCAAAACCAAGTATAACAGCAACACAAAGAAGCATGAGTATGTAATTGGTCTCCGGAGAGTAAACCTCGCCTTCCTTGTGTTGGGATGTGTGGACCACCTTGACGCGTGGGAAATAATCGAGAACGACTGATTGTTTGATCACAGAAAATGTTGCAGAAATTAAGGATTGACTGGCAACGATAGCTGCCAGTGTTGCGATAGTAAACATCGGCCAGTATACTGGACCTGGCACGAACTTGTAAAAGCCATCATTGTGATCATTGGGATTCCTAATCAGGTATGCTGTTTGCCCTGCATACGTGAGGACTAGCGAAGGATATATGCTGAAAAGGAATGCTATCTGTGTGGAGAAATTAAAGCCATGAAAATTTCCAATTAAGTGAAGAAGAAGCATGAGATAAATAAATTTTGAGCTCGTCACAAGGTGTACCTGAATGGACCTCTTGTTGAAATGACCGAGATCAGCAAACATTGCTTCAGAACCTAAAATGGGATCAGATGGAAAATGTGGTGAGGTTTAAGTTAGTAAGGGGAAAACAAGCTTCAGGCTACTGAACAAGCACCTGTAATGCATAAAGCTGTGCCACCAAGCAATTGCCAGCCCGTCTTTCCATTCCTCAGGAAAAAATGCACTATATACTTTGGTGATATGGCTTTGAATATGCCTGGGTAATATCGCAGAATACTGTATACCCCAATGATTGGAGTGGTGAAAGTCCAAGATGCCATGATTGGAGAAAAGAGGAAGCTCACTCGCGCGGTGCCATATTTTTGCAACAGGAATAAAGCGATGAGGACTGCAGCAGATAAAGCTTCCACAGCAGCTGCATGAATTCAAAATCAGGACAGACACAACAAAAATTGAATAGCTGGCCAGACGAATAACTCACACTTGTGAATAGAAGGTAAAGGCCCTCTTAGTCCATCCATCGCTGATAACACTGGTAGAAGACAACAAAAGTATTTCAAGAGTTCATTGAGGTAATATCAAATAAAAAACATGGAAAAAGTAGCAGTGCCAGCAATAGGATATCGATCGTTTTAGGTGTCCGTGCTTTATACCTGAAATAGCTGGTGTTAGTATGCCATCTCCGATGAGCATGCACATACCCAGTATCGCGATGAAGAGCACAATTCTTCTTGCAGTCATACTACGCTCTATAAATATTCCCAGCCTACTTCGCTTTTCAGTGCCCACAGAAGGGTTAGCATGTGCGGCATTCGTTACAGAATCGGCCTTTTTTGAAGGAAGGATGCCAATGTTTGTGTGCCTACAGAGTAGAGAATATAGAGCAAATGTGCCACCTGCAATCAGTGTTGCAAGCAGACTCGTTAACAGCCACGAAGTCTTTCATGTCTACTACAAGAAAAGATCACCATGATGAAATGATCATGTTAATTACTCTGAAAATCAGTTGTATTTTACAATATGATTATATTATTAAGATTCTTAGAGTGCAATCAATTGAATAATGAACATATTGACCTAGAAAGTTCAATTATCAATAGAAGTCCAGAGGCCTTAAATTTTCATCGACAGACTATATAGGAACCGATTTAAAAGAAAGCAAACAGATTAACAAAGTGCACGTAGAAAATGAGTGGTTAAATGGATATGAACAATAAAAAAAATAATTCAAATAATTATGATTAGATGTAACAAAGATAATAATCTAGATTAAGATAACTAGATGAGTGACTAATTTTTTGTTATGTGGATGAGGATGAAGAGGTTTGTTGGGGTTGATATTTTTCTTATTTAAAAAAATATATTTTATTCTTTTGATAATATAAATATGTGTTCTTGGATGAGTCCGCATATTAGACTTATTTATTCTACTATCTTCTTTTCTTTCTCCCTAAAGTTATACAGGAAACCAACAAATATGACATTAGAACTTGATTTGAACAAAATAAATATGAATACGATGATTAAAAGAGAAAGGGAGACTAGTAAATCTAGAAAAAAAAGAAAATGACAAACATTGGAGTAAGTATATCTAATCAACTTCTTCTTATCTTCAAAGATAAAAATTATCAGTTTTGGGACATTAAAATAAAAATTCTATTTATTAATAAGGATCGTAGAATTTGATAGAAAATAATTTTGTTAAATATAATTTATAGGATCCTAATATTATCGAAGATAAAAAAAATAAAACAAATGAAAAAAATATAAAAAGATGTAAGAGCTCTATATGCTATAATAAGTAATAAATGAGTCCCTACTTTCTCGAATCATGTCAGCATCAATATTAATAAAAGCCTAAAAAATATTAAAATGTGTGCTTCGAGCTATAAATAAAGTAATAACTTTAATGCTTCAGATTCTTCGACATAAATTTGAAACTCTTATGACGAAAGATTATGAATTTATCACCAACCTTAAAAGTCTCTTTTATTATGAACTAAATGCATTTTTATGGTGAAACCATAAAAGATTTATAATAATAGAAAAAATTTTATAAAGTTTATCTCTAAAATTTGATATGATTTCTATTACTATAGAAGATGCTAATGCTATAAGTATATTATCTGTTAATGAATTAATGAGCTCACTTTTAATTCATAAACAGAAAATGAATAGACTTGTAGATGAAACTTTAGAATATGCTTTTCAAATAAAAATGGATCAAAAGAAGAATAAAAAAAATCAAAAATCATATCTCAAGGAATAGTTAGAATGATAAAGGTAATGGATGATCTGACACTTGAGACAGGAAATGAGGTTTAATTAATTGAGAGTTAGAAAAACTCTGATGAAGGTAACAAAGAAACATGTAAATATTTTTATTCCAAAAAAAAAAAACTTATTAAACAAGATCGCTAGTACAAAAATAAAAATAAAAATATCCCTCTCTGCTCCCATTATCAAACAATGGTCTTCATGAAAAAAATTATTGAAACAAAATTAAGCAAATTGTCATAAAAAATAATAATAATAAAGGACTAAAAAATATTAGAATATTCTAGATCTATTCGGTTTTTGGATAATAGATACAATAATCATATGACAATATATAAAAGTTTATTTGAAGGACTTGATGGTTCGATTAGATTTATGGTACATATGAAAAATGAGAGTAAGGTTCAAGTGAAAGAAAAAGGAATAGTTACTGTGAACATCAAATCTGAAAAAAAAATTTATTGATGATGTGATATTTATTCCTGATTTAAAATAAAATTTTACTAGTATAGGACAACTAATGAGAAAAGAATATTATATAATTTTTTATGATAAAAAAAATTAATAGCGATTGTGAGGCTAAAAAAAATAAAATATTTTTTTTATTATTTTTGGGTTTCTCCTTATATATATTCATTGTTACTGTGATTGATAAATCTATATTATGGCATAAAAGAATGATCATCCAAATTATGATGGACGAGAATTATTAAATCGAAATAATAGAATAGTTGACTTGTCTAAAATTAAGAATAAAGATACTATTTGTGAATCTTGTAGTTTTAAAACATAGTATAGAAATTTCTTTCACACATGTCATTTTTGTTGATCTAAAGTGTGATTGAAACTCATGCATAGAGACATTTGTGGGCTTATGTAGATTATCTAATATGGTAAAAGTATTTTTTTTTATTTATAGATGACTACAAAATGATGATGTGTGTATATTTTTTGAAAGAAAATGTTAAAGACTTTTTTGTTTTTAAAAATTCAAAGCATATATATGTAAATAAAATAAAATAATTATTTTACTAAAACTCTGTATGGTGACTGATAAAGGGGGAGAATGTACTTCCAAAGATTTCTTTATTTTTAGTAAGAATATAGGTATTCAAAAGGAACTAACTGTAAGTTACACTAACAAAATAGAGTAGCAGAGTGGAATAACCAAGTTGTGATGGAGAGATGGAGACTGGCAAGTGTATGCTTAAAGAAAAAGAATTACCAAAAGAGTTTTGAGTATAAGTTATGTTTGTTAAATCATTTTCCTACTAAGATAGTATAAAGAAAAATACCCTATGAAACATGATTGGATAAAAAGTGAGATGTAAGTCACTTAAAGGTATTTGGTTTTGTTGCTTACTTTCATGTTTCTACATTAAAAAAAAAGAAGAAGTTGATAACAAAAGTATTAAATGCATTTTTGTGGGGTATAATAATGAAACAAAAGGTTTAGAGTTTATGATCCTACAACTAAGAAGTTAATCATAAAATGATGTTATTCTTAACACGGAAGAAGTTTAGACCTATAAAACAGTTGAAATTTTAATAGTTGTAGGAGAAGTCTATAAGAAATATGATATATTACCTATTGTTAAGACCTCGTATGAATCTTTTCATATTTTGAATGATTCTAATTTAAGATATTCTAGTGATATTGTAATACCTCTAAAAGAATTTTATAGTCTTTCATATCTATATATATGATTTTACATGTTTTGCTTTAAAATTTACTTGTTTTAAAGTAGTAATTCAGAAAAAAGAATGAGTACAAGTAGTGAAGGACAAACTATAAGCTCTTAAAAAAAAAACTAAAAGTTAGAGAATTTGCCCCTACGAAACGAATATATTGGACTCAAATGGGTATATAAGATAAAATTTAATATTTATGGCTTACTATAAAAATATATTTAGTAGCCAAAGGATATCCTCAAATTTCATGTATTGATTTTATAGAAATTTTTTTCTCTAGTTATTAAAATTGATACAATTAAAATAATATTAGTATTGGTAGCTCAGAAAAAATAATAGGTTTATCAGTTTGATATTAAATCAACATTAAAAGTTGCAAGAGGAGGTTTATGTAAAGCAGTTGAAGGATTTAAAATTAAAGGACAAAAATATATAAATTAGATATAATATTATATGATTAGAAAAAAGTACCAAGAGCATGGTATAACATAATTGACAAGTACTTTCTTCAACATAATTTAAAAAACAATTTAAGTGAGTCAACTTTATATATAAAAGCCCAAGATATGAAAATCCTTATTATTTGTTTGTATAAGAATGATATGATTTATATTAAAAATATCATATATACTTGTTGAATTTAAAAAATATATGATGTTAGAATTTGAAATGACTTATCTCGGGCTTTTCTATTATTTTCTAGAAATAAAAAATATTTAATATGCAAATAAATTTCTTTTACCAAAAAAATATACTAAAGATTTATTAAAAATATTTCATATAATAACTTGTCAACAAATGAATACTCTAATAAATATAAATAATAAACTTACGTAGATGATGTAGCTAAAAAATAGATGAAACAAAAATAATATATAAGTTTAATTGGATGGTTAATTTATCTCATATATTTAAGGTCAAATATTATGTTTGTAATTAGTTTATTATCTAGATTCATGCATAAACTAGCCGGTATTACTTTAGGGCAACTAAAAGGATTCCTAAATAAAAGATTTGAAGTTAGATTCTTATACAAACAACACTTTATGATTTGTATTGAGCCTTAGTTTAGAGATAATTTGATGGACAATAAAAATGCAAGGATGTATTGTTGCCTAAGCACAGAGACAATATATGTGCTAGTCATAGGTGTCATACAAGTCAAATGCATGAGTGATGACACGTGTGACATGATACACATTCTTTTTACTTATTATATATTTGATATTTTTTTTCACTTTATATTGTCTGTTACATATATTGTGATATTCATGGATCTGTGCAATGGGAATCGAATCATGATGAGATCATGATCATGAGACCGATTGACCTTTAAACACAGACCTTAAATAATCCCAATCATAGGTTACTCGAGAGAGACATCGAGATAACCGAAGAGACCGGTGTACTGTATACTCGTCCATGTTGAGGCGATTGTCTTATAGTTGCTCGTGTGAGGACATTAGGGATATAGTGCAGGTGCTAATTGGAGAATGAGTTTACTAATCGATCCGCTCATAAAATGTTAAATGATTGATAATACCTCATTATCAAATAATGATTTCATCATCCTAGTGGTGTATTTGATCTAGACTTGAGACACTAAGGATGTCCTGTATGAATACTCTACTCTTTAATATATAACTTATAAGCTTAGAAGTTCTAGATCTAGTATAGTCGATCATCGGGAGTGGTAGCCAACCTTATAAAGGCTATTAAATCTAGATAGAGGATCCACTTTCGGTATCATTAAAGGAATATCTTATGTGTTCTTATTCAGACAAATCCCTAATCAGGGTCATTCTGATTGAGAGAGAAAGAGTTCTCTGGGAGAATATGATCAGAGCGAGGCTCAAGTAGAAACCGTATGGGCCTGACAGCAACATACGTAAAAAACGATCTCTGGGATATTAGATGAATGAGGGACTAAAGATATACAGTAACTGATGATAGATAGGTTCAATGAATTGGATTCCCCTATATCGTCATGAAACTACGGTGTAGTGGCATAGTACATCTACAATCGATGAGTCGAGTGAATTATTATAAAGATAATAATTCACTATGTCAGAAAGAGTTTCGATAGGTATAACTTATGGTTGGCTCGATATTGAGCCTAGAGGGCCACACGCATATGCTAGGTATTACCACGAATAAATATTCGAATATGAGATATCCATTAGAGCTCCTATCTTTTTGGATATCCAATAAGCTCTTGAATTATTGGATCCTATGGATGAGATCCAATAAGAGCCAATGAAAGATTATTGGGTAGAGATAAACTAATCTAATAAGTTTGGATAGTTTGATGAAGATTTAGTACCCAATATGGCAGGATCCATTATGGTAAGTTTATAGGGACCTCTATAAATATGAGGGAATCAAAGGGCCATAAGCCAAACCTCTTTTAGTTGCTACCTCCTATTCTCCTCTCCCCCTCTCCTCCTCAGTCAACAGCCTTTGTTTAGGATATGTGGACTGCAAGAAGGGCTAGCCCCTTCTTGATCTTGTGGTGAGCGTGAAGAAGAGGATTGTGTAGCGATTCAGTTTATAGATCTAGACTACACTCTTTTTCTCTATTAAAAGGTGTTTTAGAGAGGATTTTGACATCAAAATTATTGACGCAAAAGTGATAGGGTAGCAATTATTATTGCCCTATAGGATAGCTGAGAGCTCTCAAGGGAGCCCTTAACTTGGCCACCTGCAACAGACTAAGAGCAGCCATGCTGCTCTCAGCTTCAGTAAGGAAGGCCCCCTATAACTAAGTTTCCTGGCTATAGGGGCACCTCTTGTGGCCAGGGTTTCTTAGCCACTAAGGAGACCTTAGCGGTCAAGATTCCTAGCCACATGGGGCAAACAGACGGTTAGGTTTCTTGGCCACCTAAGGTAACCAGAGTTTCCTAGCTGTAGAGGGCTCATTGTGCTAGTCATAGGTGCCCTACAAGCCAATCACATGAGTGATAGCACGTGTGACATGATATGTATTCTTTTTACAGATTATATTTTAGTATTTTATCACTTTATATATATATATATATATAGTGATATCCATGGATCTGTATAATAGGAATCAGATCGTGATGAGATCACGATAATGAGACTGATTCACCTTTAAACATATACCCTAAATAATTATGATCATAAGTTACTTGAAAGGGATATCGAGATAACCAGATAGATTGGTATGCTGTATACTCGTCCATATGATTGAGACAATTAGTCTCATAGTTGCTTATGTGGGGACACTAAAGATATAGTGCAAGTGATCATTAGAGAATGAGTTCACTGATTGATTTGCTCACGAAATACTGGATGTTGATGATGTCTTATTATTAGACAGTGATTTCGTAGTCCCAATAGTGTATCTGGTCCTTAGAATTGAGACACCAACTATGTCATGTATGAGTACTCCAGTCTTTGATACTAGACTTATAGGTTTGGAAGTTTCAAATCTAGTACAACCAGTTATTGAGAGTGGTAGTCAACCTTACAAGGGCTATTGAGTGTCGATAGAGGATCATCCGCTCTCGGTATAATAAGAGGAATATCCTATATATTCTTACTCAAACAAATCCTTGGCCAATGTCATTCGGATTGAAAGAGAAAAAGAGTTCTCAGGGAGAATCTGATTAGAGCGAGACTCGAGGAGAAATCGCATGGGCTTGATAATACTATGCTCGGTATATGGTCTTTGGGATATTAGATGGATGAGGGAATAGGTCCCAAGGATTGGATTCTCCTGTATCATTTGGAGACTACGACGTAGTGGCCTAGTATGTCCGTAGTCGATGAGTTGAGTGAATTATTATGGAGATAATAATTCAGTAAGCCAGAAAGAGTTCTGACAGGTATGACTCACGGCCAACTCGATATTGAGCATAGAGGGTCACACACATATGGTAGGTGTTGCGACGAATAGATGTTCAGATATGAGATATCAACTAGAGCCCCTATCTTATTGGATATCCAATAAGCCCCTAAATTATTGGATCCTATCGATGAGATCTAATAAGAGTCAATGAGAGATTATTGTGTAAAGATCCACTAATCTAAGAGGCTTGGGTAGTTGGATAGAGATCCAATACCCAATAGAGCAGGATCCATTATGGTAAGTTTATAAGACTTCTATAAATATGAGGGAACCTAAGGGCTATAGGTCAGACCTCATTTGGCTGCCACATTCTATTCTTTTCTCCCCCTCTCCTCCTCAGATAGTAGCTCCTGTTTAGGGCGTGTGGATAGCAAGAAGGGCCAACCTCTTCTTGATCCCGTGGTGCGCGTAAAGAGGAGGTTTGTGTAACGATTTTAGGAACGTCTTTGTTGCCTCTACCATGTAGATCACCGCTAGACAGAACAATAGTTGACCTCCATCATCCTCTCTCACAGATCTACAAGTTTTTAAGAATATACGATCTCCATAAGTAATATACATCTCTTAACATGCATAATTTTTTGGTTTTACGGGTTTTTACACATCAATCTTCACACGATAATAAGAAACTATTTTTTGTGAAAATCTAAAATTTTTATTTTTTTATCCTTTCGTTGCGCATGTGATACTACCCTAGGTTTCCTAACAGTACGATGCAACTATAAGTACAATATATTAAATAATTTGACTTCAAAAAATTCTAACAAACCTTAAAAGAAAAATAAGATAAATAAGATGAACTAACTAAAATCTATTAACATAATAAGTCAACTATTATAATAATAAAAAATCTTATTTTCCACGAGTGCATTAAACATAAGTTTGACATTGCTTCATTCCTGAATTAGTTGATAAAGGAAAATTTTAAATGGACTATTAAGATCAACTTGTCAATATTTTTATAAAAGCTTTAGTATTATTTTTTTGTTATAATTATTTTGAATTAAGGGAGTGTAATAAAATTAATTCAAATAGTTATTATTAAATATAATAAAAGATTAAAAAAAATTATATTAAAATAAATAGATGAGTGATTGGTTTTTTATCAAGTAAATAAAGAGGCAGTCAGAACATAAAAATCCAAGTGCTAACTTAACCATCGAATCAACAATTCTCATGATAAATGATCGGAGTACAAACTTTTAAGTGCATCTGCTGAGAATCTTATCCTTCTTTTTCTTCTTTTATACACACTACCAGTATTTCATGTGACTGAACAAAGTACAAAATTACAAGGCATGTTGAAAGGGTTGTCTGGCTTATCCAAGTCAGAAATGTCAAATTTTGGCAAAGAACTCATTAAAAATATTGGTCTTCCACTCACCCATTCTTAATACTGACCTTGAAATCCGTGGACAGTTTGGACAAAGTAATACCTTTCACATTTTAATCGTACAGTCTGAAAGTGACTGAGATCCAACCTCGTTAAAATAAAATCTTGTCCTCATTTACAGACATGATTAGAATAATGTACTGCACAGACATGTCTTATCTGAGCTTAAAGGTTTAAGTTCTTCAATAAATTGTCTGGAAGAACAATAATAACAAAGCAAGAGCAGAAGTGTAAGAAAAACCCCCTCAATTTAAGCATTCAGATCAGGTCTCTTACCGCGATGAAACACTGCCTACAAGAAATGATTAATAGAGTTCTTTGCTTAACATTTTCCGTACTTATGGAACAAAAAATTTGCAAAACTTTAAAGAATGTCGAGTGACAAGTTCAATTAAACTGTCGCATACGTTTCAGATTGTTCAGAAACTGAAGAGTATGAAGAACAATAAAGATGGTTCAAATAAGCAGAGCAATACTACTACTCAGCAGGACTAGCAACAAGATCTATAATACGGATGTGGTAAAATGGAGAAAGGAGGAAGCCATCTTCCACCTGCTTTTATGATTTCATTTAGAGTTATGGAAGTTCCAAAAATTTGTCTAACTTCTTCCTGCCAGACACCCTCGCTTTCCTCTCTATTACATGATAAACTCTTAATCATCATGGTCATACACGCATCCTATGCAACTGTAACTTCATGCTTCTACTTTCCACTGCTTCAACTCAGCTGCCCATAAGCATTGCTATGGCAAGTCCTTTCAACGACTCCAAAGTCTAGGTCTTTGTTCTTTTGTGAAAGGACGCCAACCCACATGATCCTAACGAGGAGTGAGGAAGGGAAGACCAATAAAACAGGAGAAAGAGAACAACAGCATGTCCCACGCTACAGAAACCTTATTAATGATCCAAGCTGAAGTCAATTTTTATTTTCAGAAATGAGTGGTACGACGATCACATCAACCTTGTGGAATTTCCTTACCAAGAAATCGCAATAGCGTCCGGAAACACTGAGACACAGCGTGGGCAAGCAAAAGTTTCAAGAACTCTACTTTTCTAACCAATTTCTACACTTGCATAGCCAATTAATGAATAGATCTGATTAGCTTAGTTTCCCAGCTAGCCTTTATTATAACTGGATACCAACAAGGCAAACAAATAACAATCAAGAAAACCAAATCACCATTCTTCTATTCCAGTGAAGAGGGAGGAAAGGGACCATATTACCTTCACCATGATCGTCGGCATTGAGAGCGATGCAGACGTACTTCACGACCCCAATCAAAGTAAGAGTCCAGAACATGATGCCGTATATACCCAAGTAGTCCTGCTCAGTGGGGGACTTCAAGTTCATGGAAGGATACACATAGAGAGGTGAAGTGACAAGGCCACCGAAAACTACTCCGAGAGTCCTGTAAGCCAAAACCATGTCCTTCCATCTGCCACCGTTCTGTCCACACAAAAACACTTGCTCTTTTCAGGAATATGAAAAATCCAGCAAACGAGAACAGCCAAAGCATGCAACCAAACAGTTGGATACGCAAACCAATCTAAAATCGAATAAACATCACAAGCTTCAAAGAGAGAGTCCATTAAAACAAAATCGCAACGGGAACACAGAGTGGACTATCTTTTCTTTTCTTCCTTCGTATAGGAATCTGGGAAGATTTGCGTTGAACAAGTAAAGATCAATGAAATCGGAAAGAAAGTAGGGGAACACCACTGGGACTGAGTCACAAAACTAATCAATCGAAGGATGCTGAGAAAACAGGAAAGGGAGAGTTTCGGCGAAAGAAGCCATGGCTCACATATCTATCGGCTCCATGGACGCGACGCCCGTCGGAGGAACCACCGCCGACGTGGAGGCGGCTGGGTAGGGGTACGCCCGTCTCCAAATCCATAAGAGCGGGAAACGTTAGGGCGAATGCGAGGACGAGGCACCGGTTCCGCAAGAAATAGAGTCCTCCATACCGGAAGCTGGTAGGAGAGGGCCCACCGGTGGGCGAGGGGGAGGTACTGAAGGCGGATGTATTGGTGGCGCTATGGTCGAGAGGAAAGCGGGTCTCCTTTCTCTCCCACGTACGATTCACGAGCGCAGCCGATAGCCAAGACCTACAAAGAAACAAATGCCAACGAAACGCAATGAAAGTGTACTTTTTTTTGTATTTTTAATATCAGGCAGTAATTTTTTATTTTTACCAAATCATCTTATTTTTGAAATGACAAGATTACCCCCCCCCCCAATAAACAAACACTTTGTCCTCCTTTCTTTTCTATATATTATTTTTAATCCGGTCCAAGAGTGGATTAGACAAGCAATCGAGATTAAGGACAATTGTATAAACGTGATGATGAAATATAATTGAAACAGATGCTGAAATATAATTTCTTTTCCATATTTTTTTATATAAGTTGGATACAAACGTTTGTGTTGTTTTTATTTTTCAAAAGAAAAACTAATATTATTTTATGATTCTAATAAAAGAGCATATGACAACTCACACGTGAAGAATTCCTCTAACAAAAAAAAAACAAAATAGATTTATTTATGTTAGCTTTCTTTGCAGCTTATTATATGTATGGAAATAATGTGAAACAATGATTGAACTTAGTTGCGTCATGTCTTTGCCATCCACAATGATATGATGTATATACATGATGTCGGTGTCACCTGTACGGTTGTAAATCAAATTGGATTCTCAACCAAATAAAGTCTTATTAGTTGTGAAAGTGTTTTTGAGAACGATTGGTTTCGGTTTTGAAATCGTCGATTTTGATTTTTCAAAATCAAGAATCAAAATTGAATAGCTTAGATTATGATTTTTTATATCAATTTTTATAATATAAAAACTATTTTTAAATAGTTCAAATTAAGTAAATAATTATTTTTAAAATCAACACTTTAACCATTATACCACAACCACTTTTTCTATTATATATAATTTTTGACTGTGTTTAAAATCAGAATCGTCAATTTGGAATCAGAACGATCAATTCTAATTTACCAAAATAAAAAATTGAAGTTAAACTATTCAAGCTAATTCTAATTGGATTTGAAATCAATAAAATATCGGGTTGGAATCAAACCATAATCAGCCTCTACTTTTAATTGCAAACTACTGTTTCATTTCATATCCAATTACTTGTTGTAGACATAAAAAGTCTACTGTGTAGTAATAATTCCTATGGTGAAAATTTAAATGGTTTATCCAATATCTTGCTCATTATTTATGGGATTACATCCCAATGTTCCATATCTATGTCAAGGAGATCTCTTTTTTTAATTATTATTATAGAAAAAAAATCATAAATTAATTAGAAAAAAAGTACATCAAAAGAGTAAGGAGCAATGAAATCTGTCCAAAAATAGGATATTAAGTGGATTCTTCCAACAAATAAGCATTTATATTTAGATATCTAGAAAGGTAAGGAATACTGAGCACTTTTAAGTAATCTAAATCGGTGTTGAATGTGGAGAATAATGGACTTCAATTATTATGGAATCCCTTCTTGAAGATTGATATACTTGATGATGTTGATGCCATCCAAATAAATAATCAATTAGTGTAGTGAAAAAGAATTAGCAAATTGAGAAGTTACCTGTCACCTTCAAATTTTCTTATCTTAGTCATATAAGTTTTCAATAAGAAAAAGAGTGACGAGTAGTACATCAAATACATACTCCAATTATTCTGAATATGACTTACAAACATTCAATTACTACTTATCTTAAGTTGTCTAACTTTAGTGAGTTCATTGGCTATTTTTAAATATTATAATTGGTTATATGAGTTTTGATGTCCGAGAAGACAATTGCATGTGTTGTCCAAATCATATGCACATTATAGATCTTAAAATCGAGGAGTTGGTGAGTAGAGGTCGAGGTCATGGGATCATAGGTCGTCACCGAAATCGATGTCACTGTAGGAGAGTTATAGGCGGCCAGGTTGAGATTACCGTGTGGATGAAAGAGTAGGACAATAATAGAACCTGATCTAAGAATTATCGAATTGTGCTGTTCTATTAAACTTAGAAATCTAGGAAGTCTTCACTCACACTTTTAGCTGACAATTGATTTGGAGTTAATTAAGATCCATTTTTACTTGTCCTAGGTGGTCACGGAATAGTTTGTCTTTATTCACTTTTGAGCTATCCCGAAACTAGGAAGATTACTTCGAATAATAAACACTTTTATAATGACTTCGAATTTAATTATTTTTACATTAGACATGAAAGTAATATGATAATATGCTTCGCTCGAATTTGATTATGATCGTGATACACTAAACTTGGAATATGATAATATCCGACCTGTTCAATCATATACTTAGGTATCATCCATGTGTTAGTGACGCATCGACTACGTGACACAAAGGTGTCACGCTTAGATATTGATTACATGACGTCAAAGTATTGATCATATAGTACAAATCTATCAATGATCATCTATCAATCATCGAATGTTAAGGTATTGATCATATAGTATTCCTATGATATCAAAATCAACGTGTCAGCCCTGTCATTATTCTCACATTATAGATATTTAATGAGGAAGACTTGTCTAGACATAAATGAGTTGTTTAAAATTATATTTAGAGAATGACAAATTTTATGTTTTTAGTTCTCAGGGTCAAACCACTTGATCTGACATCAACATTTCACCGTCAATCAAAGAATACTCATCTAGTTTTGACATGCACAAACGAGTCATTTAAAATCATACTTAGAGGATAATAATTTCAAATTTTTAATTTTTAGGGTCAAACCACTTGACAATGATCTGACAGGAACATTTCCCTATCAAGAGAAAGAAGCAATAATACTATGATTATAATCTATGGATATCTTAAATTTTGATTCAAATATAGATTTAGTTTTACTCCATTTTGGCAAATTTTCAACGTGTCTCTAATGACAAATAAGAACATAAACTTTCAAACTAAAGGTAAAAGACATATATATTATTTCTCATAACTATCCCACCAAAGCCATTCATAAGCAATTTTGACAAGAATTGAAGGGAAAGAAACTCATTTTAATTGCAATTGCATGTATTTCAACTCTTCCTAAAGATCAGTAAGACTCTTCTGAAAGTCAATTACCATTGTCAGGATTAGATATAAGTTCAATCAGATTTCTAAAAAAAATGTAATTGAACATATAACTAAATAAGTTGAATAAAGTGTTTTCCTATGCACTCAGGAAAAAGTGTTTTCCTATGCACTCAGGAAAAAGTGGAACAACAACAAGAAGGATAAGTTGTATTTTTTCATCAGATGATTCACCTTGAAACCAATAATAATATAAATCTAAAGCTAGTGTACAAGGAATGAAGAAGAAATCTTTCACACAAAGAAATATTCGATCACCAGTAATCCCCACAAGAACATGCTCCATCTTTGAAGCAATGAAACCGACTTGCATCCCTTAACACAATCTCCCGTGCGACAACCTTCGTTATATATTTGATCGCATTATGGCAATCCCCACAAACACGCAGGTTCTTGATAACCCGAATCCTTGATGCTGGTGTGGTACTTATGAGACCATAAGCAATGGCAAGTTTCTCGCTGTGATAATACAGTGTACGCTCCTTTTCTTCTTCTTGAAGATCTAAAAGCACATAATCTGTATCAGGGATATAGCCCTCACCTTTAATCTTTCTTATCAAGTCTTCTAGCTCCTGATATATCGCAGTGGATTCGGGGTGTGATGTATCATCTACTACAAACAAATGCACCTTGTTCTTTATCTCGATCCAACTATACCCAGGATCTTTCTTGACGTTCCTGTTTGCCATTGTTTTTCTAGCTTTGTGTACATCTTCCCATCTATTTGCAGCAGCATATGTATTTGAAAGAAGAACATATGCAGAAGAATCAAGTGGTTCCAAACCCAAAAGCCTAGTTGCAATCCGTTGCCCAACTTCCATGTTTCCCCGAATCCTACAAGCACCAAGCAGTGCTCTATACATGGATGCTGATGGATCGTAAGGCATTGTCTCAATAATCTTTTCTGCCTCATGAAGCAAGCCTGCACGACCAAGAGCATCAACGAGGCAAGAATAGTGCTCTACTTCAGGCTCAATGCAATAATCTACGCGCATAGTGTCGAAGTGGCTGTAAGCCTCAGAGACTAACCCTGAATGGCTACAAGCTGAGAGCACACCGACAAAGGTGATCTTGTCAGGTTGTACCCCCTGTGACATCATATTCTTGAAAACCTTCAGAGCTTCTTTTCCATATCCATGCTGGGCAAGTCCAAGAACTAGGGCATTCCAGGAGGCTGTATTTGTAACATTCATCCTCTTGAACAGACTATATGAATCTTCAATGTTTCCACATTTAGCATACATATCCAAGATTGAAGTCCCCACAAAAGGATCTGATGCACAACCAAATTTGATGGCATTTCCATGTATCTGCCTTCCCTGACCTAGTGCAGCCAAGCAGGAACAAGCCTTGATCAATGAGGCTAAAATAAATTCATCAGGCATGGCTCCTGACTGCCTCATTTGGAGGTATAGGTTAAGGGCATGCTCCTCGTCTCCAATCTCCACACATCCTGAGATCATTGCTGTCCAGGCAACATCATCTGGTTTAGAGATATTGCTAAAAATGGCAGATGCATCCTTAACGTTACCACATTTAATATACATGTCTAATATCCCACTACAGACACACAAGTCTGAATCATAACCAACTTTTATTGCATGTGAATGAACCTGCATCCCATTTTCGAAAGCAACTAATCCACTGCAAGCTTTTAGAACAGTTGCCAAAGTGAAATCATTTGGTTTTTCACCAGATCTTGTTATTGAACTGAAGAGATCTAAAGCCTTATTTGGGTAACCATTTATTACATAACCAGCAATTAATGCATTACACAAAGCCAGATCAAACCAAGCCATGCGACTAAAAAGGAGCTCGGCTTCCTCCATTTTCCCCTTCTTTGCATATGCATCAACTAATGCAGTCAATACAAAGATATCCATAAAAATACCTTGTTTTAGGGCAAAACAATGAACTTGTTCAAGCATGAGATAGCCTATGGTGATTCCTGAGCAAGCTCGTAGAGTGCTTGCCATTGTAAACTGATCAGAAAGCACTCCAAGCCGTAACATTTTGATGAAAAGTTCAACAGATTCTGCCTCCAAGGAGTTTTGTGCACAGTTTGATATCATTGTGTTCCATGAAACCAAATCGAACTCCTTCATATCCTCGAAGACATGCCTTGCATAAGCCAAGCTACCCATTTTGGCATACATGTTTATAAGACTATTTGATACAGAAACATCTGAACACAATCCTGCCTTAGTGACCATTGCATGAAGCTGTTTGCCTGCTTCAAAATACTCGCCGCTAGTAACTGCGCTCAGTGCAATCACAAATGTCACATTATCGTAACCAAAATTCAGCCTCTTCATCTCCAAAAAGCATTCCAGAGCTGCATCATAGTCTCCATTTCTGACGTGCTCAGACATTATCTTGTTCCAACTTTGGACATCAGCAAAATCATCCAAGAGACATGTTTTGATTCCATATGCCAGAACTTGCTCAGAAAGCTCCCCTGATTCTCCAATCATAAGAATGCAGCGGACGCTGGTTTCATCCAGATGGAGTGTTTCACTCCGGTGCAACTCAGAGAACATAAAGAATGCATCCTGGAGAAAACCCAATTGAGCATAACCTTTGATCATGATATTCCACAACACAACATCTCTTTCATCCATTCCATCAAAGATATGTTGAGCCTCTTGTAAAAAACCAAACTTTGAGTAAACATTCACCAAAGCACTAGACACCATAGCATCAGAGCCCAAACCAATCTTGATAGCAAAGGAATGGAGTGATTGTGACGTGGGAAATAGGTCAGCGGAAGCCGAGCACAGCTTAAGGAGGGGCGTGAAGGTGAGGCGGGTAGGAGCAACGGTGGGGCAGCGGAGAAGGAGGCGGAAGAGGTGGATTCCGTCGGCGGAGAGGCCATGGAGGGCGTAAGCAGATAGGAGGGAGTTCCAGGTTACGGTGTCCCGGTGGGGCATTTGATCGAACAGGCGGCGGGCGCAGGGAAGGGAGCCGCACTTGGAATACACGGTGAGGAGGTTGTTGGCGAGAAAGCGATCCTCGGCGGCACCGGACGTGATGATGACGGCATGGGTACGTCGACCGAGGCGCAGATCGCCGATGGCGATGGCGGAGCGGAGTGCAGGGAGCCATGTGGGGTGAAGTAGCGGTGCGGTGGAGAAGTGGGAGCAGGGAATGCGGAAGGGTGAGCTTGACCGAGCGGTGAGTTTGAGGAGAGTGTGTGTTCGGCATGAGTACAAGGCAAAGTGCATTTGGCTGGTGAAGGGCTCATGGATTTGGTCGGTCGATATTGGGTTCTGCCACTCCTTTTGGCTTATATCAAATAATACAATTATTTTAATTCTTCTATGGAGTAAAAGAAATGGGCAATTAATTTACAATTTTAATTTTTTAACTTAGAACATTATACTTTTCTCAGTATTTAAAGTACAATAAAAATGATTCCTTTTTTTTTTTATCATCTCTCCATTTAGTTTCGCGTCTAGTTGGGTGAAAACCAAATCAATTTAAGAAAATAGTAAAATTAATCAAAAGCTATAATCTAGAAGTATGAGATAACATCTTGTAAACTAATATTATCATTCATTATTTATTCTTAAAAATAAAGATTTCCATATTATAACATTATATTAATGAATAATTTCTATTACAACTAGTGAGTATTTATTTATCCATCATAGAATCAGTGGCTACTTGCAATGTGAAATTTCTATTTGTCATTATTCAAAATGTTCAATCCCAAAATAAATAATGACAATATAATTATCTAACATTTTTAAGTCTATTTAAATAGTCTCCTACTTGCAAAGTGTAAATTATTATTATTTTTGTTTTATTTCTCCTATCAATGGCAATATGAAGGATTCTCAGAACATGAATAATAAAACTAGTAATGATACTTATCGTTGGAAAAATATGCCTCAAATAATTTTTAATTGCCACAAATATTAGTAATATATATTTTATGTATCATTCATGACAGTGATTGGTTGCAATAAACATCTTCATTTGAACTCACATCAATCTTTTGTTGCAGTCTGTTTATATTGCTTTCCACCTGTCCGATCGTTTACGTGCCTGTCACGCAAAAAGGAAAAGGAAGACTGATGGGTGATGCTATCAGGATAAAAAGACGGATGAGCCTCTTTCAGCAAGCGAGCACAACATTGACGAAAGCCGGCCTGTCGAAGCACTAGGCTGAATTGGTAATCCGAGTGGATAAGCACATTCCTGTATCCTATTAGGGAATGATGTAATTTCCCATGTCGAAAGGTTAATGGCGCCCTTAGTTTCCCTGTCTTATTCACCGGTAATCTGAAGAGTGATAGACTCGCACTTTTAGGATGTGGTTTGGCCTTCTTTCTCCGAATGGTACTATTGAAACTTTACTTCACCCTTTGCTACTCGCAAGATGGCATTCTTCACCTTTGATTGCAAGTGGCCGTCTATTGGACTCTAAAGAAAGATCACGATAAAAATGCACCCGATATTTGCTGTTCATGGAAAGGAAAAAGCTTCAACCTCAACTGGAGTTGATGGCCACAAAGCTTCCACCTCCACTCGACAAAGATAGTGTTCGAGCACTACCTACAGTCCATTCTGCTCCTCGCAAATTATCATCTTAAGAGAAATCAAAGAACTTAATAGCCGTGTTGGCTGATCTATTATAAGGTGGAAGGATCTCTAGCTAGAGAGTTGCAGAAGTGATCAGCTCCATGGGCACCTTCGTTGGACACTTCGTCCCCGGCCTGGCATTCACCTTCTTAGGCCTATGGCACACACACAGTACCATCCGATCCTACAAGCTCAAAGGACCCTCCAACTTCTCCTCCTCAACATGGTTTCCTTTTCCATCACCCATCTCCATCCTCCACCATTTGGAGCTCTACCTCCTCGTCTCCTTCTCCATACTCGCCGCCGTCCTACAACTACTTGGCTCGGATCTCCTTACCCTCTCTTTCAATCCCGTTGACTTCGAGCACGCCACCATGTTCCTCCACGTTGTCATCTACTCCGCGGTCGCCATTGCGGTCGACGTCTCCGCTTCGGAGACCCTCTCGGGGCTCGTCGGCGCGCTAGCTGCATCCGTCTTCGGTCAAGAGCTCTTCCTTCTCCACTTCCACTCCACCGACCACGTCGGGCTCGAAGGGCACTACCACTGGCTCCTCCAAGTCATCGTGGCCGTGTCGTTGCTGGCTACCATCGTCACTACCGGCGCTCCCAACAGCTTCGTAGCTGCAGTGCTCAGGTCGGTCTCCGTACTGTTCCAAGGGGTGTGGTTTATAGTCATGGGGTTCGCGCTATGGGTGCCGAGTCTCGCGCCGAAAGGGTGCCATGCCGTGGGCTCGGGAAGCACTGGGCATCGGCAAGGGGCCATCGCGTGTGGCACGGAGGAAGCCGGCGCGAGGGCGGTGGCATTGGCTAACTTGCAGTATAGTTGGACGCTAGCAGGAATCTCTATCTTGACGGCATACTTATGCCTAAAGCCGAATATTAAGTGCATGGAGTACAGAAGGCTTCAATCACGAGGTTTGGACAACAGCCCGACCTCAGGAGATCCAAGCGAAGGCCTGAAACAAGTCCACGCATCAGTTTAGAGGATGGACTACAACGTGCGTCCACCTCGTCATCGTGGGTTGGATTTTGTCATCTATGTTGACCTGTAATTTTAGATGTTGAAAGTTTTAGCGTATTTATGACTTATAAGGGTTAGCTTATAGATTTGACACGTATAGAGAGTAGGCTGCAGGTTAGCTAAATACTCGCTGCGAACGCCATGGACACAATAAAATCTCCAAAGATCTCATTAAAATCTTGACCTATCTCAGGTGAAGGGCTTGTAGTTGATTCGAAACCTCAATCAATTACCACACCAGCTCAAATCTTACTAATCTTTTTTTTAAGGATTAAATACATATCTACGTGTGTCTGTTCCTTCCTTTTATCTTGTTGATATATAATCCCATGTTTCTTGGATGATCTATCGGAGAGGCTGTATCAAAAACAAAAATTTCACTACCAAGAGGAAAATTAACTCATAAAACTGCAGATCGGATAATTTCCATTTATTGATATACGTTAGCGGATAGCTACGTAATATTAGTTCTGGAAGCGTAGAGTGCATGAACTGCTCAGTTCCACATGAAGACTGCGGGACTCTTCACTTGATGGACGCTGTTCTCCCAAATGATATACCCATACTCCGTTCCTTTATCAGTTTGATCGACCACGATGCTCTTGAACTCCACCTTGTAGCTTCTCAGTTTGTTCTCATCGTCAAAGGCCAAGATCTGCGGCTCTACCGTCACCTCTACCTTATCCGGTCTCGGATTCACCACGCGCACCGTGTACGTCTCCGGCTGCTTCGACACCTTCGTTAGAGTCCTCTTCAGCATCCTTGCTTGGGTCTCGTTGTCAAAAATCACCACGAAAGACGGATAGTTGAGGCCGCCTGCCCCTCCCTCGAGGTTCGAGCACGTGAAGATGCCAGGGACGAACTGCGATATCTGCCCCTTGGTGTAGTTCATGGTGCACATCAGGTCGACGTAGTCCTGGACGCTGGTGTCGTATACCAGCCCTGGGTCCCTGGCCATTGGAAAATGGACTAAGCCGGCGCCGATCTCGAACGGCGTGGCGACTCCCAAGCTCTGGTCGACCGTGGGCCGATAGTAGTTGTCGAGGGTGACGGCGGTCGTCATGATCGCCGATCGAATCATGGCCGGCGACCACGTCGGGTGGGCCTCACGGAGCAATGCAGCGATGCCAGCCACGTGAGGGCACGCCATGGACGTTCCCGAGATTATGTTGAAGGCCTCCCTCCTTGGGTCGTCGGCCAACCGTGTCAGAGAGCTCTCTGTAGGCCACGCCGCGATGATGTTGACCCCCGGTGCGAGGATATCGGGCTTGAGGATTTTCGGTTGGATATAGCTTGGGCCTCTGGATGAGAAACCAGCCACAATCGGAGCTCTGTTTTCGCCGATGATCGTTTCATGACCGAATGCAAGTTCGGCCACTGGATTAGCTGCCGAGGTGATATAAGACAGGATCTTCTTCCCGTCGATGTACCCGACCGTGAGAGCCGGCAACGTGAAGCTCTTAACAATGATGACTTGGCCTTGCTCTTCACCGGTGATCGAGATCATGCCCGCTCCGCCGGCAGCCTCGACGTAGAATCCAGTGGCAACAGAAGCTTCAGTGCACACCACTATCTTCCCCATGATAACGTCGGGCAGCAGGACATCTTCTGTGCAGAATCCGACGTACAAAAGAGGGAACATATTAGTGCCTTCGGCCATTTCGGGGTAGAGGGACTCGCCAACATACACCTCGCCATTGCCCAGGGTGACGCGAGCAGGGAACTTGCGGTCGATAGTACCCGCGCCCACCGTCGTTATCCACGGCGACGTGTTCGTGACCGTGGATTCTGTGGGACCGTTGTTGCCGGCCGAGCAGGCGACGAATATGCCATTCCTTACCGCGGCGAACGCCCCAATGGAGATCGGATCGTCATAGTACGGAGCATCGATGTTGCTGCCGATGGAGAGGGAAAGGATGTCTACACCGTCTTTAATCGCCATCTCCATGGCAGCGAGGATATCCGCACTGCTGCAGGATCCATAACCCCAGCATGCTTTGTACATCGCGATCCTTGCCCTTGATGCCATGCCACGGGCCTTGCCGTTGGCGAAACCGAAGAGGTTCGCTCCGGGCACCTCAGAGCCGGCTGCGGTGGATGCCGTATGCGTCCCGTGCCCATTGGCGTCCCTCGGAGACAGGAACTCGGAGGCTTCATCAATCAGGATTCCTTCAGCCACAATTCCAGCTTTGAAGAACCTTGCACCGACCAGCTTGTTGTTGCAGTTGGTAGCGTCGAAACGAGTCCCGTTCTCGCATGTGCCCCTCCATTTGGATCCAATGGGAAGGAGATCGGAATCGTCGAAGCTAAGGCTTTCCGGCCAAATGCCAGAATCAACGAGGCCAATGACGACATCTTGGCCGGAGTTGGATTCTCCTACTGGAGGCCGAACGCCGGAATCGCTAGAGGTGACGCCGAGGAAGTCCGGCGACCTCGTACTTTGGAGTTCCAGGATTCTGTTCTTATAGACACCGATGACTCCTTGAATTCTCGATATTCTTTTGGCTTCCAAGGGAGTCAGAGTGGTGGCAAAGCCATGAAGTACAATGTTGTAGGTGTACAAGAAGGGGCGTTGACTAGTTTCGGTCAACGCGGCAGCCACGGTGGAGTTGGCGGCGAGAGACTGGAGGAGGGAAGAGTACCATTGTTCTTGTGTGGCAAAGTGAGATGGCCTGCTGAAGTTGCTAGTATGGATGATATAGAGAGCAGGTCTGATCAACGTGGGTGGAGCAGGGTGGCCGGCGACCTCGGTCAGCTCCGACGGTGGGTCGGTGACGGTGGTCGATACCTCGGGTGGTGGGGCTACTATCTGCAGCTTGGGTGACGAGGTTGAAGTAGCATTGGTTGGACACAATGGAGCCTCAAGGAGCAGAAGAAACAGAAGTAGACACGAATACAAGGTGACAAGAAGAGTTGAGGAAGGCATCGGCACAGTGAAGTTGTAAGGTCGAAAGACTCTGCTTTGGACGACGATGATCGAGATTGTGAGAGGGTATTTATAAAGCATACGAGTCATTGAGAGATCAGAGTGAAACGCATGCAATGCAGAGAAGAGATGCTAAAGGAACAAAGAACACCATTTGGAGTGCGTCAGTTCTGCATGAAGGGACATCATTCAGCTTCAAGCTTTTCAGTTGGTGGCTGGAATTGGTTCATTGGAACACTCGGGGCATTAAACTTCGTCAGGGCAAGCTACTGTATTTGAGTGAGACAAGGAAGCTTTGGTGACAAGAAGCCAAATGGAATTTAAAGTATGCGTCTGTATACATACACAAACTTCGGGAATTCTGAGCAAATTTCAATACCTCTGCCAGTGACCACTGATTGATCCAAATTGGATGTTCTTGTAATGGTCCTTTTAGCTGTATGGGCTACTCTGGCAAGAGTAGGAACCTCACTATTACTGACAGGGATCAAACTGTACTGTTCAAACAGCTCACACTGATTCCCAGTAATCCTAACATGTATATGAAGCTAATCGTACACATATAGCAATGTGTTTGTTGCACCTGAACACGAGGCCTGTCGGTTCTACAGAAATTTCTGAGAAGATTCGCACAGCAGCTCATATGTCTTTGGCTGAAAGCATGCTCTGTCCAAGAACACAACAGAACAGAAGAAGAAGAAGCTTCAGTTGTCAAAAGTTCTATTTTTCTTGTCGACAAGCTGAGCCTGTTGTTTCCTGGTTTGTATACAAAGCCAAACAAACAGCCTAAGATTGGGTTTAAAGCATTGTACAATACTGATCGGGGATGAATCGAAGAAACATGATATAGAATCATTGATAAGGCAATGAGATGCTGCAATAAATTGAGTCTTGCATCCGTAACATACAAAATTTACCACACAGCACGAGGATGATCTACTTTTACAGCTTGAATTATATATCCATACATGTGAATGTAGGCTTGACTTGAGTTTGAAGAGAACTACTTGTACATATAGATATCATAAGCCAATCTCGAACCATTATGATTTGTCACTTCAATAGCATAAAATAAATCAAAATTGACTTACGAATGTGTTATTATAAATTTCAACTTAAGTATATTAATAATTGATTTAGCTAAATGAAGTTGATATGTCAGTTAACCCATTATATTGGATTATGACATTCGGTATCAAAATCGATTTAATATTAAAATATAATTAAGAGCTTAAGTAGAAAATGATTATCTACGAATGGAGTGGAGTCGAGAGGATTCGAAGAATATGTGCAGTATACTATTTAATTTTGATATAATAACAATGCTCTAAATTTTTTTAGGAAGATTAGCATTCCATTATATTTTTTTTATTTATGCACTTTGTTGCCTGTGATATCAAGTTGTCCATCAAGTACTAAACAATCCAATGATGTATATGAGTTTTTTTTTTTTCATGTAAGATTTTTTTGAGCAATTTTTCTAGAAAAACACTCATATCTTAGATATTTCTCGGTATTCCTCTTTTGTTTTTTCCAAAAAATTTTTTGCTTTTTTTTTTTTATCAATTTTAAATGGTTACAGTATTTTATTTGGCTCATTTATAATGCTTTTAATAGTGCTTATAGTATTTTTATTAAGGTACTGAAAATATTATAAATACTATTAAAAATATTATAAAATATCATCATATTATGTCTCTTTAGTTGTCTTGTAAACCATTACAATATCAAATTTTTATACTTATAATTTATTTGGTTGAGATTAGAAGTCTATTTAAATCATTTTCAGCCTTTTTAAGTAAATTTTATTGTGTTTTTTTTATCACGATGGTCAAAATATTGTAACAAACTAATTTTTTTTATTTGGGTAATGTTATTCGTAAAT